GCACAGAAATTTTATCGTAATTTCTCGAAGCTGCTAAATAATTTCTTCAATGGGTTAACTTGTGAATAGCTCTCAAGACAGTCATGACTGTTCAAGTTTCGCTTTGACCAGCCTTCCAGTTGACGTCGTCATGGTCCGTCGACGACCTCGTTGAGCTCGTCCTGTGCGCCACGTTCCCATGGAAACATCTTCTGATTCGTTCGGGATGATGTTCAGACACGCTATGTAGTTTTTGGGTGTTTTGAGATTTGGCAAAGTGTAACGAAATGAGTTTTAGATGCACAGGGGTGTGTCTGCTTTTTTTGCCCCCCCCCCTCTTCCCTGTATACATATTACTTGTTAGGCTATTTGCGTTTCACAGTTCTCCCGAGCTGTACAAAAAAATTGGACAGCTTTCAATATTCTCAGTTTTCAGTGCTTCGATACCAGTTTTGGAAGGGAAACATTGTCTATTCTCAGTGCCGACCAAAAATCCGCTTCTGAAGTTATACCGCATGGGCAGCGGAGAACCGCCTTACACGTTGGTTATGGCTGTAGAGAAGCGTTCGCTCAGTTTGCGTATACATTCAGTATAATTTTTTTACCACAACGGTGGCGCACGACTATTTCTTTTGTTTTTGAATGTTTCTAGCAATCTTAATATACCCATATATACTCTCAGCAATGTGGAATAACATATCTTCCCAGGACCTGGACGGCTGGATTTGACAAACCTACAATAAATTTTACATACATTTTGTCTTAATTTACATAAGTTTACTATTTGATGGGTGGCTTACCCATGGTTCGCACGTCCCGAGACCCCTTCCCCTAAATATAGCCACATCCTTGCTCGGGGTTGTTGTTTCGCATTTTTCGATAATGTCACCTACAGCTTCCATTCATTCTTTGCACCCTAGTTTTAGAGCGGAAAGGCGGGTTACGAACTTGTCGTCAACGGAAATCTCTTCTTTTGGATGATGAGACACGACACCTACTTTAGCCCCGTCTTAACCCTGCTGTTCGCATAAGCCTACATAAACCCTACCCTGGGTGGCGGCGTGCGAAATACACTGGCCGTCCGTTATGGGTTAATTTTTGGCTGTGCTTAATTTGGTGCATCTCGTGAAAGTTTTTTTTTGTTCTATTGTTAAACGCCAGTCATGGTTTGCTTCATTTTTCGTTACTTGCTTTGTGATCGGATGTGCCTTTTCTTAATGCACTCTTTTCTCATTTCAGAAAAAATATTTTTTTCATCTTAATTCATTGATTTGATTTGGAATTTTGGGAAAGTTTTGGTCTAGCAATTGATTTCAGCGAACAGAGGTTCTTGTTTACGAGATGATGTCAAAATGGTGCGAAACGCCAGATGCTGAAGGTGTCCAGAAAGTCATCAGCGAGTCCACCATAATATTCATGCCGGAAATACCGTTCACACAGGTGCTTTTTTTCGTTTAAACGTTCAGCGGAGTAGCTTTGACGATGGATAGGAGTGACTCCACCACTCTCCTCCTTCTCTTTTTTGTATCTAATACGCCTCCGTCCTATTGCAGTTTTTTTCAAGTGTCTCCGCTTTTTCTGTCAAAGGGATGTTCTGTCATGACCGATATTCCAGTCGAGCCTTTTTGATGATTTATTCCCACCTATCCAATGATCCTAATGACTTTCAAGAGTTCACGCCCTCGCCGTCTTTAATCGTACTTGTGATATTCAAAGGAAAAGCATGATGAGCATTGTGTTTTGCTAGAAAATTGAAGAGAAACTTCTTGGGAGATGAGAAAAAGTTTCAAGTGGAAGTGTGAGAATATTGCTCGTAATTTTTGCTGCTCTGACGGTCACATATGTCCTGGTTGGCGGCGTCATGAAGTTGTGTGTATCAAAGGGCCAGGTTCAATTACACTCAGGGGACGTCTCTTTCCCGTCCGAATTTGGGGATGCTAGTGCCACCTCAATGCAAATTTAGCTTCTTTTATTCCACAGTTACGTTCGTGTTCTATGTGTTCACAAGCGGGGGATTCTGCCCACTTCGTATTCAGTTCAGTATCCTCTCGAGGACTCTCTAAAATACTAATTCAGAGATCCAGTTTAGTTTGCTTTGCCGTGGCTCAGTTTCGAGATCATTCTTCTCGGTAGATTTCGACCACAGAGCTCAGGCAAAGAATCTCTTGGTCACTTTCGAGTGGCATTAGCTGTGTAACTGTTTATTGGAAAGTTTGCATTATTTTTGATGTAGCTTAGTCTTCCAACCGATCGGTATCCATTAGCTCGGTGTAGCGCCGGTAACGGCACCATAATTTTGATGAGCAGGTTTTTGCCTTGTCAAGGGTCGAGCCCGTGGCCTTCAAGGCTGTGGGCACACACCTACACCCCACCACTCAGTCATCTCTGCCTTCAGTGAATGTTCTTAATGTGTTCACGGAATTCCTTTGCACTTCTGCCATTTATATTATTTATAACACCGTCTTCGGATTACCCTAGCTAACGTTTCTGAAGTTGTTGATTTTCCAGCTGGCGTGTCATGACTACGCTACGATCGCACCATTTCAATCATTAATTGATAACATACTGAAGGAAGTACCTCAGATCGATTATGTTGTGCTCTTCGGAAGTGGAGGAATCAAGGTGGGTGTGTCGACCCCTAACAAGTTGATTTTATCTTTTTTCTATCAGTTATGTAAGAGGCCATGAGCAATCTTCCTTTTTTCTTAGATTGACCGCAAAAGCTTCAAAAATCATTACTGCGGCAAAGTTTTCCAAGAAGTGTGACACCATACAGTTGAAGTTATCAACTTATCAACATCGAGAACTATGAATTGATATAAACACCATCTCATTTTTTCCACAGTAACTGATTCTAGGAGAAGCTCTGGTAGAAGTTGAATCTGCATTTTGCTTTTAGGTGCGGTACGTCCAAGCCAGCGCCGGTGTGGCGGATCGTCTCGCGAAGACGTACAAATTGTTCCACACGCAAATGTCCACTGCAACTGAAGACATCTGTCCAAAGAGTGGTAAGAAAAGTTTTTCATCGTTGTAATTCATCATGAAAACTAACCAATTCGGTTAGGATTCCTCCTGGACCCACCATTGAGCGTTCTCGAAGTCCAGAATAGTCTGTCTTAGTGATATGTCTTTCATTTCTTTGACTAATCTAAGGAATACAAAACCAAGGCCACGTGTTGGGTGAGTTTGAGTGGAACAACACGGTTCCGTTGTCGAAGGCTCCGGACGCATTACTTGTGCAGACCGGATGCTGTTACGAGGAACGAGGATCGGGCCACTTATATGCAGAAAATCGAGAGAGCATAATTGCAATGATGAGTGAAAGGTAAGCAGTCCAATGTCTACTAAACGTTTGGGTCTATTTTATTGGGTGGGAGAGAAAAGCTCACCGGAGGTGCGGACGCGAGCGCGTGCTGGTGACGTCACAGCTGCGGCAAGTACCACGAGAAGACTTGACAGACAGCATTGCTGCCACTTCGCTTGAGTAGTAGAAGGAGCCTGGCATCACACCAACCAGCGCAATCTGTAGTGCCGGAGCGAAGTGATTATATTGTGGATGGGTGCAATTCTATTTTTGTGATTACAAAGGAAATCAACGCTCTGGTGGTGTGCAAACCCTTAGGAGCGCGCGCAATAGATCCAAGTTTGATTACAAGATGTCCCATTATCTCCCGTGACTATTAAACTATTGCACGGCTTCTAGTTAATTAATCCGATAGAAAAGTGATCAAAACGTAGTCGTGTTGAAATAGATTTCCGCAAACTTGCTCAAGCTCAATTCAGGTCAAGCGAACCATCGGTAAAATTCGTGAAATTACGACCCCCCCCCTCCCCCTAGCCGAAAGCCCATGAAACGACCCGTTCTCAGAGCCGACAATGAAATGGAGTGTTAATTCTCCAAAAACTTCATTAGAATAAAAAAAACCCTGCTGCCCCATTCGTGTCCACCAAAAAATCGTGTCAATTACAGGCTAACAGTAAGAATGAGTCGAAGAATGATCTATTGATGTGTCCTACCAAACGAGCATACGCGAAACGGAGCAAAAGACGTCAAATAGTCACTAAAAATGGCAACAGTTGACAACATCTCTTCTTTATTTATTTCCTTCGAAACTTACCAAATTCTAATACTACACAGATTATGGTTCAATTTACACGTAGCCCTTCAGTTGAAAGAAGCTTTTTAACCGCCTTCGCCAGCTGTGTGTTGACTGGACTTTGGCGTTGACCGTGGAGCAGCTTATTTACTATTGAAATTTGAACAAATATTCAAATGATTATAACTTTCTTCAAATATGACGAATTTTCAATCTGAAAGCAGATTTGGAAGTTTTGTGAAGAGCTTTTTCTAATCAGTATTGAAATACAAAAAGTTATAAGAAATAACAAATTTAGGTCAATTAACGAGGAAAATTCGAGATGAGCACGAGTTTTTACACTTTCCGAAGCAACAACTTGCTTCATTTTCGTCAAATTCGAAAAGTTAATATGGCATACAAAACTAGAAGATTTTCTCTACCAAATCGCTTATAACGCTATTGCGCTTTAAAAGAGCTTTATACGTTCAGTACTTAAAAATGCCACGTCGAGGATTTTTGAAAAATTGAAGAGGTCCATCCAAACTCATCCACTCTGAATTGTTAATATTCATCATAACTAAAGATTTGCTCTTGCAACGGGTGGCTAAAACTGCTAAATACGTCACTATTTAAAAAATGGCCACGTTGAGGATTTTTGCCCGAGTACCGCCGAAAGGTACTTTTTGCTACATTAGCACTATCCCAACGACTATAGCTCCTTGCAGGAGCGATTACATACTGAACTAGGAGCGGATTCGCAATCCTCGTGCTTTTCACTTCTTCCAAGGAATGTAAAATTGTTTAGCATATCTCAACTTTAAAGGTTACATGCTTGTGAATTTGACGCTGAAGACTGCGTTTCTTGTTGAATAGTGTACTCCTCCCTGTAATTTCACATGAACCCCTTTCAGAATCCTCTTGATTTTTTTCCTGAATTAAGATTCGTTATCAATGAATCCGAGAATGCGCGCGCAAAGCCACTGGGCCCTTTTGGGATGCGCAGTGTGTTTTCACATATCCTCTTTGATTCGAGGACCACTTGAAAGATAAAATATCCTTGGAAACGTGCGAATTTCGGATTCTTTGACTTGTGTGGTGATAAAACACTGAAGTAACTAAGAATTGCTAAGCGGACACCTCTAAATCACGAAGATTTTGTGTGGACGGAATCAATTGTTATTGGAAATCCTCTGGCCTGGTCGATCGATCCTTGATGTTTGTCCTCCGACGGTGATGATCCTACTGCATCAATCGGCCCGATCTCTTCCTCCCAGCGGGCCAATACGACCCCCCCCTGTGACGTGTCGAGGATGTCGAGGATTCCTCAACGCACGCTTGACCCTGTGCTCAATCTCTCGCCGCGGTGTGAAGTCGAAGTGACGTCACCAGTACGCGCTCGCGTCCGTGCCGCCGGTGAGCTCTTCCGTGGAGCCATTTCACTGGTAGCTAGTCAATGTGGCTGTTTAGATTGAAAGGCGTTCGTTTGGTTGGTGATGACCCATCATTGGCGCTGCGCGCGGATGATGGTGCGACGCATTCACTTCAGATGAGCACTAATGATTATGGCACGACGTTTGTCGGCCTCCCAAATGGTACGCACCATGTTGAAGTGATGAAAGATGGAAAAATCTATGCAGAATTCAGCGTTCAGGTTTGTCCTAATATTATTTGTCCACTTTTAACATTTGAATGAATCAAATCATTATGGAAACAAGTTGGAATTAAAATTGGGTTAGTGGTCGATTCTGAGTTAACAGAGTAGATTTTCTGTGTCATAAATTCGTACTTGTTTGTTTTATTGTTGTTGTTTTGTAGAGGATTTTAATGATATACACATTCCCTATAACAACCCACATTCCTTACTGAGGCTACAGAAAAGGATATTGGCAAGTCTAACTTCCGTCTAAGGACATCTACGGAACGGAAGTCAAACTAACTCTTTCATTTACCCACTCTGTCTAATTTTTTCGAATTTCTTACTTGCATAATAAGTTCTGTTTTATTGAAGAAAAAACTGAATTATACTCTTCTATTCCCTTGAATGATTCCAAAATAGAAGATCGTCGTCATCTGACATCTACTTCCCACGTATTGGTAACATCTCTGCTGGTTGGATTTTGCTGCTCACTCGCTAGCAATTCTGGTTCATTAGGGCCTCTTGGTCCTCTTTAGTACTGTCGCCCAGGACTTTCAGTGTTTCCTTCTGTTTTTCATAGTTTGAGCAAGAGTATGAAAAGAGGAATGCTCTGCAGCGGCACAGCTCTGTGTTTTCGTTTCCGCTTTTCTATTAGATCGTTCATAATTTCTAGGCCACCACAGCTGCTTTTTGAATTGGTTTTTCCTTGTTTCTCTGGTTCGTTTGCTCAAAGTATGCACCACTTTTTTACAACTCACTGCCAATGTGTGGCTAGCAGCTCAGTTGTCCGTCCTTTATAACTCAATATCTCCATAAGACTTTTGGTCATATAAACGAAAGATCGGGTACCTTTTTAGACATTATGGTTGTGTTAAGCGTATAAGTTTTCCTTCCCGTGGAAGTGAGCTAGAAGACTTTACTCATACTGGACAGTGGTTATCCTTGTGCAACGGACCGTGCTATTGTGGCTTCAAACAAGCTGAATTCGTGTAACGCTTGGAGAGTCGTCAATTTTCCTACCTAATTTTTCTCTCCAATCTAGGGTTTTAGGATAGCGATCACCTCAACCGGAAGATCTGCCTCGTTCTATACTATTTCATTTTTTGTGCTTCGCTCCTGATCAAACAGCTAGATTGACAGTCTCTGAGTTTACGCATATGCCTTGGCGAGTAAGCGAGCGTCAGGAGTTTCATGCCCTACCGGCTCCTCAAGCTATTCCCAAACAAAAAATACCGAAAAGCATGGCTTGTATGGAGCTAAATACCCGCAGGAAAAATATTAAAATCGTTGGAGCTACACCAACTGGGCATGTGGGACTGTTTTATGCGCCGCGCCCACCTCCTCGTTTTCTTGGTATCATGCGTATACCCAACTGAAGAAAATGATTGGATAACAGAAGAGTAGGGGAGAGGGTCTGGCGGGATATTGTTGGTGGGGCCCAAGCCTTGGAAATCTGAGCCGTGCCGTTTTTCTTGCGCAATTTTCAAGAGGCCGTCTTTTTGGTAGTTTTTTTTTTCTTTCTATTACTTTGGTTTGTTGACAGATTTCCCCAAAATTCCACTGAAGTCCCACGCGGCCACAAAATGTAAAACATCCGCGGTTCCAACGTGTTAATCATGACGTCGGTCACAGAATTGAAACTTATGGCGTCACTTGTAGATATCCAGTGCAGCTCCTCTAGTGGAGAAATGGATCGAGTTACATCACTCCTTCTGGCGCAATAACACCGTCGTGATTGCTTCGCTGGTTCTTCTTATGATGATGGCTTGCGTGAGTTTCTTTCCTTCGTTTTCTCAGGAATGATTTTTTTTGACAGTTGCTTCTATTATAATTTGGATCTGCCGGATCGCTGCATGTTGGACAATCTTAACTGAGGTGATTTTCAGTTTTGACTATAGGTCCGCTTCTCAACAAAAGAAAACGGTGGTCGAATAAAATAAAGAGCCGGAAGTGTTAGCGTAGGGTTGCGCGGTCGCTGGATTCATTCAGGACCTTGGGCCATGTGTTATATTCATGCGGCCGGTTTCCACACTCCTTCCTGAGGGGAGCGCCGAGGTATATCATAGTAGAAAAACTCGTTGACAAGCATTCTCTCTTTTTTCTTAACAGCTCGTATTTCGAGCTACTGTGAGACAAAAGGTCACAAAAGCTGGCTGGAGAGATAGCATTATGGCGTTCGAGTATCCAAACATCATATATCGGAATTCTTCAATCCAAGAGATTCAATTTGCTTGTGGAGTCTGAAACTACAAAAATTATATGAATGGAGAAGAGTTCTACGACTACCATCCCTTACTTCTCTCTTATTTTCCAAGACCTTGCCTCTAGATTTGATATGACACACTTATTCTCGTAGGCAGGACAGGTTTTGCGAATCTTACGTTCTCTGGCTCGAGTCACCAAAAACAGAAGTTGTGCAGCGCTATCTCTTGCTGTCGACAACGTGTCACGTCGCTGTGCTGAATTGGCTTTTGCGCCGCTGAGTATCCTCTCACATAAATGAGAATGAAGAAGACGAGAGGACCTTCTTTTGACTTACAGAAATTATAACATGCACGATTTAGGATAGGGTTTGTGTGTGAGTTCACTACGTTATTTTTTGGTCTTTTAGTCCCTTGAAAAGCTTTGAAACTAACACGATTCACTACTAGAACCCCAAAAACTCCAAATTTTCTTTTTTCTCAAAATTTTGTCCACAGGCGTAATCCGATGCTCAGACTACGAAAATGATTTTATTTAAAGCCATAGCTAGCATTAGCCCCCTTAATTGACGGCACCTTGTCACCACACTTGTTCCCACCAAACTCGAGGAAAACTTCTGCTTGGGGGTTATTGGAAAATGACACTCGTTTCTTAGGGCTGCTCCATGGGCGCTTATTTCTCCACTCGTCTGCCCCCTCTCACTTATTACATCGCAATTAGGACTAACAATGAGCCTTTGAGAAGGGGAAGGTTTCTAGGTGAGTAAGCCCCTCACCTTGTGATTTCAGCTATTGCCACACCGTGCCTGGTCCACCCACCCCGCCATGTCCCCCTACTCCCTAAGCTTAGACTCAGGCATGCATAGGTGAGAGAGCCTGGAGAAAGGGGAATATGCGTAGAACAGCGCTAATGCAAAAAATGAATGTCATACTTGTAATGGGAACACCACGTAGCTCCTTCACAGAATTTGTTGAAAAGAAATGTCGTTAAAAGATGGCGTCATTGCTAGAAGTTAATGTCGTGATTTTATAATTTGTAATTAGGCATCGAATTACCCCTACGGGCAAAGTTTCGAGATAAAATTTTGTGGTTATGAGGTTGTAATAGTAATAATACTACCACAATTCCCTTTTTTCCTGTAAATGATTCGCCCTCATTTCTGTCAGCTTCTTTAGATTGTGTTATTCGTTTGAGAATTTATCAGACTTTGCTTCCCATTTCTATTTACCAATATAAATACTAACCATAACTACTCTTTCTTAGTTAGGTATCTCACCTTAATACTAACTGTGACGACTGCTGTAAAGTGCCAATGTGATTCAGCTATTAAGCATAATTTGACCACTAATAAGGTACTGAGAAATGCGAGTATTGATTAGGTTAGTGCCTTTCTGAAATCTGTGTGATGGCTTTTTTGCTTCACTTACTCGTCGGACATACTTCGTGATGTGCGCGATCATGCGGGAAAATCGATGAGTTGATTCAATCAATACGCATCCTTGTGATGGCGGTGCACATTTTTAAGTATGTCTGACACTAGAGCTCCTTTCACTTCCGATTTCTATGTTGTTATTTTGTTATATATAAAATGCTGTTCAAAGATGAACCGTTTGACGATCCATCACTTGTTCTTCTGTTTTATATGGTGGCAAGATACGTCCTTGCAAGGAAATATATTTTCACTACATGTATTTTTTCATGCAAGCAGTGCCTAAACTCGAGGTGATTGATTTCTGCCGTCCTGGAAATTAATAAGGGTAAAGCACGACCTACCCACGGCATTACATTGATTCCTTCGAGTCAACCATCGAAGCCGCGAAGTCTTTTGGGATCAAAAAATGTTGAAATAAATAGGGAACATGAAAGTCTAGTCATAACAAACGGAAGCGCTTCTGTTTCTTTTTTTTTCTTGAGCTCTGGCGGTTGTATTAGCGTATCAGACCATTTGAAGTCAGTCCCTGTGAGTCAGGCGGTCTCAAAAGCACTGAATAGGCACTGCGCTCTCCCCTCCCCCAGCCTCTCTTGAAGATGGTTTTATCAGAAAGGCACCGAGTTGTTCAATAACAAACGATCGTTGGCCAGTTATGTTGCGCTGAAAGCTGTAGAAAAACCGCGCATGGAAGAGTCTCCCTCTTGTTATCAGTGTTAAAAACAATGCTACTTTACATGCAATTTTACTAGCTGATATTCGAGTGAAATGAAGATTCTTACGCGCGCGCGAGTTACGAGTACTCGACAGGAGGCTCGTCGCGCGGCAAGAAGGCAAAGACGCAGACGGGTCGCGCGTATTGTGCGATGTGGAAAGCACTGAAGTACATTCTTATTTTACT